CTGACGCCTGGTTACCTAAGTATTTTTTTTTTTTTTGAGAGACAAATTTAATTAAGTATATAGTTTTTTCCATAAATGTAGTAACAGCGCCTACACGCTTTCTAATGTCTTGTTTTGATAAATCATGGCAATAAGGTTATTTTTTATTCCCATGTTATGTTTCTAATGGCATCTGCGAGCAATTATGACTGTACATTACATTTATTTATATACTGTTAGTTTAAAAATTAGCCCAGAGGCTTCGTAATAGAATATATTATACAATTTTTTTTACATCTACAACGGGTATTCTTGGATAGGTATATAATATATATATATTTATAACTTACCCCGCAACTGAATTTTATAATAACCAATGCAGTGTTGCTCTACACGCCGGTAAACCGTTTACGCATAATTATATACTTTACAAATTGACTAGAATAATTATTATAATAAACCATGTTTATGAGTTGTCAATTCGGTTCAAAGAACATCGCGTGTGGGCTCCGACAGGTGTTACAAAACAACAGACAAACTCGTGGTGCACAGATTAGTTGGAGGAAAATTTAATAATAATTAAATTTGTAACTTGCCGGGCGGGTTTATGTAGACAAATAAATTGATTCCAAATTGGACATATTTTATGTAATATTAATGAATAACTGCAGTTCAGCCGTTGTTGTTTGTTAATCCGCCTGATACCACCGCTTGCCCGGGGCCCGGAAAGTCTTGCAACTGCATCCGGGCGAGCCGTGCCTTTTTCGGGCGATGGTGTTAATTTTGAGTAGCATTCTGTCGTTTAGTGTCTGTTTAGTTAGAAATCGTTAAGTAATCGGTGTAAACGCTTTTGTTTGAACCATATTACACATACATAACCGTACAATGTTAACTAAAAAAAAAAACATTTATTCGGCAGCCCATTTAGAAAAAATGATATTGTAAAGCCAACTACTGAAGCTGTATGTGTAATAAAAAGTAAATAAATAACACGAGAATTACTGGAATATATAAAAACTGATGTCATATGTATAAACAGTTATTGGACATAGTATCAATTAACGTGAAGATCAAAACTTACTAAAATTAAAATTTATATAACATAAACTATTTTGTTGTTGTGCCGGTATGTCGCACGGTGACAAATAAGTACAAACAACAAGGAAATCGACCTTAATAGTAATATTTTATGCGTTCTTAGCTCCATATAATATCCGGTTTGCCTGTATTTTGTGAACAAGTCTGGTAAAGTATTAGTTCAGAAAGTAGTATGTGTTGGATAATCGCGAATACGTTATATATTTATTATTATTATGTTTTTTTTTTTTACTGATCTACAATTTCATAAAAACTGAACGAAACGATATCGTCTTGCATAACTCAGATGCCATTCCAGATTACATACTGTTATGGTTTTGTTTAAAGCCTGATAAATAAATAATAATCATAATTTTGGAAGGCAACTAAATTACGAGCACCTGTCATGTAAATCGCATTATCTCTTAGCGGTAAATCGCATTCCTGAGGAAATTTATGTCATGTTTAAGTAAAATATACATATATTTTATTCATACTATTACATATATTCTATCCGAGTAACATGTTCTCAAACTAATTTTGTACATTTTATAAAAATTTGGGGAAATAAGAAAAAACTGTTTAAGTTTTTCATAATAATTATGTAACGTGCATTTTTTTGTTACAATTTTCCTATATTCTATGTTATTTTTCTGAAAATGTTTACTTCAAAAGAAATGGAAATATATAAGAAAAATTATTTTAGATAGTTAGTGTTGGAACTTATTAATACTGCACATGATAAGTTTTGGAATTGAGTTGGCTATTTCTGAAAAAACTTACTCGATAAAAAATACTTCAACCGTTTGTTGAAAAAATTTAGATAATAAGTTTTGATTCAATAAAAGATTATATATATTATAACTGCAGATAATATAATTTATGGAATTAAATTTACTTACATATAATTAGTTTAAGAAATAAATTTTTGCCAAATTCTATAGAATATTATACTTTTTGGAAATAAGGCGACATTTAAAAATATATTTTTAGCAGGAAAATAAAGAGTTTAGGAAATGTATTCCAAGACAAAATTAAAGCATTATATTATCACAAAACTTTAAAAGCATAATATTTTTATACAGTTTTTATTTTTTTGGTACTTTATCAGTTTTGGAAATGGTCTACTCATATACTCGAACAGACTTAATTCATATCGGTTACCACTTGCTATTGATTTATTAAGTCTTTGCAGTGCCGTTGTTACATGCATATTATCTTAAATATATATATATATATATATATAACCGGTAACGGTTGTAAATACTTAAACGTACACCTTACTGGAATACTGTGTATTATTGAACTGAAAATCACACGACCGGTTTTGGCGTGCGTTGTTGTTTAGCGTTTTTATTTATTTTTATACTTATACTTTCATGTAAGCTGATCCGGGCGATTTCAACCGGTAGCTTGGGGGTTTGACCATAAACGACCGGCTCACACGCAACTTGGAAACATTATACCAACTTGGATTATAGTATGGAAAAACAAGAGTCGAATCGCGTGGTAAAGTAAGACTATTGTGTTCCAAGCGATTGCTTTGGCCATATTATCTTTTGGGACCTTGGGGTCTAAGATTTCATAAACTGTTTACTTACCTTATTATGTGCATGACAATAGATACAAAACCAGGGTGTGTACGCGGCCAAATCTACACATTATGTATATTACAGTTATGTGTATATTATATGCGAACTAATTGTTCCTGATTTTATTACAAAAATCGATACTGCAGAAATGACTTCTTTTAGAACTTTACCGTGAACCTTAAGTGCATATAATTATAACTACGACCGTCAATTAATTGAGAACCCTAAATATCTCTAAAAGATATAATAGTACAATTTAAAAAAAAATTATGTCAGTCCATTGTTGGTTATATAATAATGGCCTTTGTGATCATTTCATTCGCTGTTGCTTGTGGATTGAGACAACCAATCGTAATAAAATAATGTCATATTTAAATATGACATTATTAAACAATTACGTTTCTATGTAAGCTGTATAATGTCGTGCTATATAGTTGATTATGATATTTAACATCATTAATTATTTAAAATTAAAATATATCAGACAACTAACCGGCAATTTAACAAATTTCCTAATGGAATTTAACATTTAATACTATATTAAGTAATTAAATCTAATGGGAAACCTCGAATAGCCAATTACGTTTGGTTTTATGTGCTAAGGCGACAAAATGTAATTAAAATTCTACCCCAAAGGTTTGGCCTTCCAAAACAAAGCGGAAATGTCTGATATGGCGAGTAAAGCATGTTATTTGTGAATATTTTACTTATACAATTAATGCAAATTTACACTGTTGACCTGTGTTTCTGGACAGACGGACGAAAACGAGTCTGACCGCTATTCATTTGGTGTTCAAGATTTAACAATAATAAAAAGTTAGTAATACTGACGAATCGATCAACAGCCTTTTTTTTATGTAAGAGAAACTTTTTTTCGTAAATCGTGTACAGATATAATGCCATTTAAAAGAACAATTCGTACCTCCCAAGCAACATATTTTAAGTTATAACCCAAAAACACTGATTGATTGTCAGTATCAATTGTTGGGTAATACTAATTGAAAACTTGTTATTCACCAGACGTTGTTTTCATAAGACAATTCTCATACAAATGGATATTTTGAGCTATAAAAATACATATTAAATCATAATTTATGATATTATTTTATTTGGTGCTTTGGAAACAATGTTGCCGAGGGTCAACATCTGGTTTAGAGGTACTTAACATACGCTTCAACATACTTATTGTTTTATTCATACTTTGATTGAATTGCAATAGCTATTGTATTATGTAGTTGCCAAAAGAACCGGAATAACTCGATGAAACTATTTTCCGATTGCCCTGCGGAAAACCTATAGGAAAGGCGTGTTACAGCTGTACACTGAATAGGTGCAAGAAAATCCACAGAGCAATATAATATATATAAAAAAAAAACACAATGGCATCGCGGAGAATAGCTTTGGTGCGCGGCTACATAACAAAATAATCGAGAGAGTTGTTGAAAACAGATATACATATAATACACGGATGGGTTTTTTTTCCATCGATTTTTTTTTCATTCTCTCTTCTTTCCGTATGCTCGCATTTTCCCTCATCGGTACGTGACTCGGTCGCTCGTTTTTCAACCAGCACCGCGATTGTTTCATATATTACATGTGTTTGTACACTCAAATTTATCATCAAACATAGGTAGGTAAGGTGATATACACTATGGTATTATGGAAGCCGATACGGCTGCAGTTACATATAATCGTACTCTCCTACCCTTCCCTTTAACCCCCTCCCTCCGTGCTGCTAGACCGGATGGTCGCTATAGCGGTTTCAATAATTTGACGCAAACAGAAGGACCAAAGGCAGTCTGCCTAGTAAAAAGAAAAAAAATACCGTTCAATATACTGTGGTGATAATAGAAATCAATGATAATAGCACGCATATATATTATAAACTAGATTGCTAACTAGTGATAAGAATTGAAGTCGACGTCGGCAATTTTTGTGGGATTTATGTGTGAATAAATTAATATATATATATAAATATATAAATTTGTGATAATGTGCTATCAGCTTAAATTTTAATTGTTATAAGCAGTGATAACAGACAACAGTTATAAACATTTGATAAGGTTCTAATTCCCACAAAGATGGCGGTAAATAATAACTTCAATTATATCTATTAGCGGCATGCATCTAGTTAGTTATATATATATATGGATAAACAATAATTTTTTAAGATAAGAGGTAAAGACTAATTTTATCATTTTTTAGAGTACCAACCGCTCAATATCGAAGATTTTTTTTGCTATTGTGTGGTCATACTGGTTTTAGTCCTTCTGTTTACTTCACATTTGTCGCATACAAGCTACAAGTTCATATCTTCATATTGTTACTCTATATTGTGCAAGACCGACTCACCTGCCAGTAGAAATGTCAGCAACATTGTGATCTCATTGGGCTCGGCGAAGTCGTCGTTCGGATGTCTATCTGCAACAAACCATAAATCACATTGAATACATTAATACGTTTTGTAATCGATTAGCATCGTCGATAAGGTATAATGCTCACGGTAACTGTTTAGGTCAAGTATCGTATCAGGATAATTATGTATTCAATTATGACGAGCGCCAAGTCATATAGCTACAGCAGCTGTCAGTAGCCGGCTGTAGAGGAATTATTTATCCTTACAATATTATTATTTTCGTTTCGATAAGTCTGTTGATTGATATGACCCGTAAAAACGTCATGTCTTAGGATGGAACGAGAACGTTACACGAATCGCATACGTCGTTGAATAGAAAACGTTTCAGTCTAATAATATTCTAATTACAATATCACTACTGTGTAAAAAAAATACATTAAAAAGATATCATAATATATCAGGACGTTTCATTTTTTCGATAGACCGCATACTTTACATTTAATTAACCCCAAATGAGATCTGAACACATTTCCAACAAGGTTAAGATAACGCCACACACACACACACACACACACACACTATTTTTTAAGGAGTTCAAAAAGAAAAATGAATTTCTAGTTAGTAGTATAATGTATATCAACTATTAGTATAGTAATGAGGATTCTTTATTTTTTGTTTGATTAACGAATTTATTCGATTAAAATACAGTTTTCTCTTTATTTTTATACCAGCTTTATTTACATTAAGAACTTAATGTATTCGATTTTATTTAGGTACAAGTAACATGTTATGTTGAATGATATCATTCAGGTTTACAAATGATTTTTGAAAGCACGATGGTCAATGGGAAAACTAATGGTCCACAGTGTTATAGAACATATTTTACTTTTGTGTAATATCACTTGAATCAAAATTTGTTATTTTTTTTTATTTTAAAATATTATTGGAATATTTAACTTTAAAATATTTTATTTAGCTCAACACCTCTTTAGAGTATAATGTTATGAATCGTATTTTTTTTTACCACCCAAAAAACATCAGCTTTTTAAGAAAACTATTTTTGTGTTCGAAAAAAGGTGTTCAACTACAATATTTATTTGGCAATAAATCACAAAAGAAACATATGTACAAACGAACAAAAATAAAATCGCATCGAAGCTAAACTAACACTGAGTATTACTACTTTTGAATTACAAAAAAGGCAAATTGTAGTAAATACGTGTCACAAAAACTGTAAAATATACTTGGATATTTTAGTCGAATGTATCCAGTGACGGATAATACATGTAAAATGGCTTGGTGTGCGCTTCTGACTTTTTTGTTGTTTAATGTTTCATATTTCGTTCAATCGGATATTGCAGAATACGCAAATGAGTTACACTGCTGTTATTCGAGATATATGCTAAACTATTTTCAGTTAAACGGAATTGTCTTCAAAAATACATTTAAAGTAAGTATTGACGCTAAGGATGATTCTTCCCAGAGGGTTGAAGCACCTTTGGACGCCATAAACTTTTATGATAAACGTCTTCGGTCCCAAGGAATTATTGTTTTGGTCATGCTCGACGAACTCAGAAACACAACACCGCATTCCAAACCCCCGAACGATCTAATGCAAGTAAATTTGTACTTAAACAATTACACTGGGACTACACGCGCCAAGCTGGGTTCTACGGCGATAACACCTAATTACATACACGGATACAGATATTTTCACTCGATAATGACAGATGCGCTTGCAACGTTCCTAAGAGACGGTAAATGCGATAAATACAAAAGTATGATTCGGGACAACGACCAAATGCTGAAATTGGAAGAAATCAACCAGTTGTCGGCAGACATGGGGCGGTTAAACACGGACGATTTACAACAGGTGTTGTCGAAGCTAGAGGAAAACAAAAGTAGTTTGGAAAATATTTTCATGTCGACCTTCGAAAAAGGCACTTACAAGGACTTTGAGCACCGCAACTTGCTTTTTGCGCCGTTACTGGCGTATGATTACAATTCTTGGCATACCTCGTCTAGTGGCGGAGCGTCAGGGGACTTGCTCACTGGTGATTATAACATGTTGGTCAAATCGTTAATAGTGGGTGATGTAGTAACTAGTTATAAATTAATCGAAGGAGGTTATGCAAGTATACACGATGTAATGTATAACGTCCGAGCAATGTTCAACCAAGACTATGTTATTTCATTCCAGCAACATGTAATGGCCGCTGTGGTACACCCTGTGTTTGTATGCTTCGGTACATATTTCAGGGTTTTAAAGAAATTGAACTCGGGCAACAATACTAATGTAAATGTGTTGGAGAACGAAGGCATGAAATTGACCGACACCTTAAAGTCGTTGATCGGGTTGAACATTTTTCCCAAAAGCGTACAGGAATATCTAAAAAGCGTTGAAGACAAAACCACTGAAATGATAAAATATTCATATACACCTGGTTCTCTGTCGAAGAAAGGTGTTATGGGTTTTATTTCTGAAAAGATGAAGTCGATACAATTAAATAGTTCTAGTTCTACATCTTTTAGCAAACGTATAGATTTGCTTTTTAACATGTGTTCTCAGCCAATGGAATTAAATAATTTACAATTTTCGATTGACATAGAAGGATCAAGTAGTAGTAATAATGCGGATGCAGATGAACTTGTCGGCAACCTTAAAAAGAAAACTATGGATGTCGGTCATTATGTTGTAAGTTTGGAAAAACATAAAAAATTATTCCTCACGGTACTCAACATGTACGACCATGAATATATGTTTAGCCGTCCACCTTTTGATTTACTAAAAAGGAATGAATTAGGTAAGTTTAATTTTAATTTTAACATACTGTTATTGACCACTGCATTTTTGTTTACTGTACAATTTTTTTGTATAAAAATGAAGTAGTTACTAAAATATATTCGTATTCTTTTAGGTTATTTTGCTGTTCGTCTCACTAAACGTCCAACTAAACCACTAATAACCATTTAGGTAAGTTTCATAATTTTTATTTTATTAATAAATATAATATAGTAACTATACTTATTTTCTTTATAGGTCTTGAGTCAAAATGAATGTCTTCTAAAATGTAATTTTATTATATTCAACTTTTCAAATTATTCAATATTATAATTTAAAAAAAAGTTATTACTCAAAAAAAATGTGTGCACATATTTTAGTAAAAAATATTTCTAACATTTTTCTTAATAAAAGTTTGTTTGAATATTTTTTACGTTTTTGGCAGATGTATCGCCCCAGATGTACCCCCCCCCCTCCCCCTCCCCTGGGAGCAAGATTAAAAGTTTTTTAATCTTTTAGCGCAATTTTAGGATTTAAGAGCTGAAAATTAGTCTAAAGATAGATTCAACATAGAGCATATAACATGTGTAAAAATAAAACATAGATACCTAAATCTTATCAGTGTGGTGTAATCTTAAATAAGGGCGTCTACTTTTTTGTCTTTTCTGTATAGATATTACTATTGAGAATGAGATGGCACAAGTCTTGTATATAACTGACATTTTGTAATTCGATTATATAAATATAATTAAGAAATTTAATTATATTACATTAAATTAAAGCATATATTTCTCTTAATTGTAATTTGATAAATGATGAATAATTAGGGACACATATAAAGCAAAATATTACAACCACAATAACACATATTATATTTGCACATATATTTTAATACAAAATTCATACTAAATAAACGCAATAAAGAAATAACAAATATCCATCTATAAAAACTATATTTTAACATAATTGACACTTTTAAACGTATATAAAAAAAATTGTAAATTTTAAGCTTAAAATGTACCAATTTAAAAAGAATATATGTTTCGTGATTTGTTTACGTTTATTACATACTTAATGAGTGATCTCTTGAAATTCATTAGGTGGGCTAATGATGTTCGTTAGTCTAATACATTATAATGAGCTATTAAAATTATCGATTTCTTATATGTATAAGAAATCGATAAATTTACATTCTGGATCTTACTATAGTGTACTCCTATCATTTTATATTAATTTTAAACCAAACTTAAAATAAAAAAGTGAGATCTTAGTAATGCCACTTAAACAGTATCCATCCAGTTTTACATAGTTATTGTAAGCTTTAAACCGATTCCTGTGTATCAAATACAACAATTTTGCAATAGGATGTCAGAAGTTGTTTTGTCATTTTTTTTTACCTACCTTACTCGAGATTGTTTGAGAAGCGGTTTGTACTGTGTAAAATTTGCAATTGTGTGTACATTAGTATAATGGTCAACTAATAAAGGTTATCAGCCGATTTTAATACCGATGACACCATGACAGTTTAGTGTAATACCTTTAGGCTTCGCTTAAATAACGAACAATACAATTATAGACCATATCATTGTAAGTATAGTCGTCATCGTGGTTTGCCACACAGTCAATAACATATGCAGCTATGGAACCTTGCTCTTGTTATATAAGAAGATGGATTAATGATAATAGTGACGCTTCATTGTTCAAATACAAAATCATCTACTAGATTTTGATCTCGCGATTCCCGTCACACTTTATTTGACGCACGCACGGTAGGACTACATGGTGGTCTCATCAAAGTTCAACTCGTTTTAATCTAAAAGGTTAAATCATAGCTTGTAAAGACACTAGAACTTAAGTCTTAACAATAGTAAATCAAATATTCGGTCCGTAACGTCAATGAGTTAAGAATCGGTTTTTATCATATCGGTTCATAGACATACACACAATATATGAATAACGTTTTATTCAGTCTTAGGATTTAGAAATTTGAACCTTTATATTTCTATTAAACGAGTTGAGAACAACACATTTTTACACAATTTTTTTTTTTACACATGTTTTTTGTATCTTTACAATATTAACGGTATGACAAATCTTCACCAGTGATTAGTAAGTACCCCTATGTTGCAAATTGTTATTATTATACAGTACTGTATTAATCTAATGAACGATGTTTTGTAATCGATGGCCTATCGAAATGTATGTTCTCATCGGTACAATGTTTCATTATATATAAAAAGATATTATCAGATATGTGAATTATAATGTTTTCATTGACTGTCATTAACACAACTGTAATGATTGAACCGTGTTATGGTTATATACAAAGTATAGAAGGTAACTGCTAATTAACCGACTATAATATAATAATAAAATAACACTTTTTGTATGAAGAATTTTTTGGAACAAAAATAATGCGATATTATCTCGGCAATAAATACAATACATGATACACTATTAATTATTATCTAACTACATGTTATACTTGTGAGTAAAAGTACAACAATTAAATTATAATTATAGTAGCTTATTATTTCTCCAAGTACGGTGTCGGTACGTTATCGTGTAATTTATCTAAAACGTTTTAATTAGGTGTTGCGTTGAAACGGAAAGCAATATCTCTTTGAAAACCGAACCCTCACCTTCAAACCAAAACGAGCGCCTAAGACTTGAGACTTCAAAGGACCTTTCTACGAAATCTACGTCCTTCGCTGTTAGAGTCTCATTGCCGGTTTCGTTACACGTCCATGTACATATCATTATAATAATCAGTATAAAATAATACCATAACGCAGTATAAAATTCTATTGTGTGTGCCGTTAAGTCATTCACTAATCGTATTGAATCATGCGCGCATAGTATTGTATTGTAATGAGTAATTGTATGTTTTAAGTGTTACAAAAAAAAAAAATCTAGTTTATATTATAATCTCGATTAGAACGAGAACACTTTTACTAATAGCACAATTATTATTATTATAATCATTTGTTTCCACGTGAGCCCACTCCACCGCGCCTGTTCCGGTTGATATTATGACAAAATGCACATGTCACTCTCCGCCGGTATTTTAACATAATATTATTTACATTTTCAAAATGATTAATGGCTATCTAAAAAATTTCACACGCCATTACATCGTCTGTCGCATTAAGAGGGTATATAATTGTGTAGGACAGTAAAATGAAAATTATACTCTTGCAGTGTGTTCTGATGCTGATGATTTGGCACTTTTTATTTACCTTTAAATGCCTCTTTTAAGAACCCCGTAGAACAATTTTAAAACAAACACGGACACAAAAATGTTTTGTTGACAAATGCTGTTTGATCAAAGTCATATTGATATTATGAGCTTCATATTGGCTCAAGTACAGTAATCAGATAATTAAAATATTAGATGTACAACGGACATTTTGTAAGATATTCTTAACATATAACAAAATTAATTCTAAAACGAAATGTTTAACATTATCACCAACCGGTTAACTTATGAAAAATATAGATGCTATTATAATAATGAAAATAGTTCAATATTTCCCAACCTCGGAATCCTTTCGAGGGGGTTATTTTGGCCATAATTTGTTCGGTGGGATTTGTAAGACGGACATGTTCGAGAATTGTATTGAGGTATGTGCATGGAAATATGTTGTTCCACAGATACTGTGTAAATATTAACAAAATGAGGGGAGGGTCTTACTAAAAAGGGGGGGGGGGTGGTGGTTTTTAATAAGAGGGCAAAAGTTTACATGAGTCGATTGAAAATAATATATATATATTATATATCATGTGCAGTTGAAAAAAATCCTTACAATAAAAATGTATGCTTGTCTGTGTAGATGGTATGATATATTATTATTTTTTTTTACTATCAAAACCGCGTATACCTATTCAACCTGTAGTGGTGTTGTATACACAAACCTAACGAGCTGCGCACCAACCAGTGATGTATTGACTAATTGGCGAACGCGGTTAACGGTTTACATAACGCGAGAAAAAAAACAAATCTGAACACTTTCGCCATTGTCAGGACTATTATTAATATTGGCGTATTGATCGTCCCGGGTAAACGTCACAGCGAACGTCTAATATAATATAAAGTATTGAAATACCTGATTCGTGCGGTGATTTATGAGAGCCAAGATCCCGTCAATAAGAAACCATAGCTGGTATTAAACTTGCCCGTCGGTGTCTCGAAGCCCAATAGATTAAGTTTTTTTTTTCGTAAGAACAATTAAATTGTCGTTAAGCCCGCGAGACGTGTTCATCTCGATCACGACCGACATTAATATTATTAATGATATTATTATTACATGACTTCAAACATCTGCAGCCGCCAGCCATTGTAATTGAATAATGTTGGCTATACATGGGCCATCGACGTTGGTCGTTTACCGAATCCCACCAGAAGACGGTATAAGAGAAATAATAAGTATATTTTTAATCCCATCGTCTTTGTGTATCGATAATGTTTATCAATTATACAGATAAATACGATAGACGTTATATGATAATAATATTATAATTTGTTAAGCAATTTGTATCACACGGTCGCTGTAGTAAAACAAATTAAATATATATCTAACAGAGATGTGTAATTTCGTTATTCTGGTCACACTGCAACTCACCTTTTTGCTTTCTTCAAAATGTTTTACTTATTTTGACCCCCTGATACAAAAGTAACAGCAAACATCATGTACGATGGAAAAATGTGGTCAAATCAATACTTTCACACATTGGTTTAATTTATTTATTGAATATATATGTATGCTTCCTTTTCGGACCAATCACGCAATTAATCTTTTAAAAATCATAAAAGTACTTACATCATACATAATTCAGCTGTTAAAAGATATTCCAATAATCAGCAATATTTTATCACAATACCTACACATTGTACAATGTATTTATTCAGTTTGCACGTAGTATAATCTTCTATTCATTATAAATAGTATACCGGTTTTATAAACGAGTAGCAACATAAAACCCCAACCACAATACGTCACAATAACGGATGTACAATTTTATGAAGTTTATTTAATTATTTTTATAGTCTTGCTCGTTTATCAAAAAAACAATTTTTTTGAAAAAACGCCACCAGTTGGACATCTATATTATGTAGTATTAAATATTTAATATATTGTGGAAAAAATAACGCAGACATTTTAAAAATGCGCACTGAGGCATTTCTGATTTTCTAAACATAACGCGTTCAACATTCTTATAAAAAAGTACCTGTAATAACATAAGAATAAGTTCTTGGGTTAAGTTAGGTAACGCAGCTATTAATTGTGTTCGAAAATTGTATCGATAATGTTATCATAATATTATATAATTTATTAAGTTATTTAAAATTCCAATTACTCGACAAACTACAGAGTCGTTTTGTTGAGTGTTTTTTTTTTTTACTGTGCTATATGTAGTTTGCCCGATTGTGTCTTACCGAGCACGTTGGCATTCTAGCCAAGTCACTAAATCGTCGGTCGTTTCCAGTTGTTATAATGGCCAGATTGTCAATCGACTTGAAAAATCCACTTGGACATCCGGCGCGTGAACCGTGACCCTATGCTCTTATACCCAAGAGTCGTTCTTCCCAAGCCACGTGTGTGCGTTTAAGAAATGTATATTTACACATATTATATAAATGCGTATTATGTAAGATCACATACATATTCGAGTGATCCCCCTTTGTTTGATACTATTTAAGATCAAATGAAGTTGAATTATAAAAACCCTAAGATGATTTATATG